CTAATAAAGGAGGGAAAATCTTTCTATATTTTCCATATATCTAAGGAAGGAAGGAAGGAAGGAAGGAAGGAAGGAAGGAAGGAAGGAAGGAAGGAAGGAAGGAAGGAAGGAAGGAAGGAAGGAAGGAAGGAAGATTTCCCTTTTATTCTCCAGAAAATAATTTCCCTTTTTTTAGCATTATAAGTTTAATTTAAGCAAACAGCATACATTAGCAGCAGTAAACAGTTATTCAAACAAGGTAGGTATAGCAAGCAAAGCATGGTTTTCATTATTCCTTTCAACCAACAAATGTATGTCTTTATCTGTGTAACAAGGTTTTTTTATCTAATTAATCAATAAATTCATTAATATCACTGCCCACTCAGCACTGGATTCAGTGTGGCATATACAGTATCATTAAAGATCAGAGACATACAATAAAACCACTTTTAATAAAACATCAAAAGAAAACAAAGACATATAAACATATAAAGTACTGAGGGGAAAAAACTGATTCAACAGTTCATACCCTTGTCAGACTCAATGCCTGAGCAAAAAACAGGTCCATAATCCCTTCTGATAGGCAGACAGGGAAAAGGGGCCGGTGAATTTGCAATGTCCTATTTCTCTGTAGTGCTTCACTTTCCACTCATGTCACAATTCCTTGTTTGTATGTGTGTATTGGGAAATACAGAGTGGGCTGCACTGGCTGAATTGGAAGAACAAGAGGATCGAGGAAGCTTAGATCGGAAAAGCCAGCAATACTTTATTTATTTATTAAATTTATATATATTGTAATACTTGCCAATTTCTCTTCCATAATTATTAGATCATTCTTTTCCAGATTTCTTTCTTCTATGCCCTAATCTACACCACTTTCAACTTTATCTTTATTTTGACAGCTATATCCACATGCCAAATACAGTCCCCTTCTGTTCTATTTTCCAGGAGTTACTCTGCTGATAGAGTCCTGGGCTCTTTCCATAATTTCTTTTTAACATTCTGCTGGGTAAGTAAGAGTAAAAGATATTATGTTTCAAAATAAGTGAATCCAGTAATTTTTAACTATGAAATTAATTGTATTTCACTTAACAAATAATCTTTACAAATCCTCTTGAATTTAGTTCATTTATTTCTCTTAAGTAGTGTTATACAAGTAATGTAATGAAGCAACAATACTATTTCTCTTCTTGCCTGATAAATCATTATAGCAGAGTGAACATTCTCCATTTGCAAAATACAAGCCCTTTCACTGACCAGATAACAAGGGTCTAAAAATGACTGGACAACAAAGCATTGCTGAATTTGATGTCATTCCAATATAGCCTCTGGATATATAAACAATAATTAAATCAGTGGTTCTCAACCTGTGGGTCGGGACCCCATTTGGGGTCGAACGACCATTTCACGGGGGTCGCCAAACAAGGCTGTCCGTCATTTTTTTCCCCTTTTCTTTGGCCATGCCTCTGGCACCCGGAGATGTATAAGTGGTTGGGGGGTCACCACAACATGGGGAACTGTATTATGGGGTCGCGGCATTAGAAAGGTTGAGAACCACTGAATTAAATGGTTTGCTTACAGAATGACTGGCAAAATTGTGTCAAAGCTGAATTATGCAAATGCAAGGGTTTAGATTAGATTATCATAGAAGGAAATCTTTATATTGCCTTTAATTTCTCAACCAAAAGTAAGATTTCTACAGTACACCAGATAATTTTGAGAACTTTAGCACAGCAGATCAGTGAAGATAAATTTTGAGACCTTCAGGTTGGTGACTACAAACAAAACATTTGAAAATAAAAAAAATTAGGAACACTCGATTTGTCACCGAGACTTTGCAACTAATAAGGCACAATCTTTTTTAAACCAGGAAGTGAATCCAGGCTTGTTCTTCCTCCAATGTTATAAAACAGATTGCGGTTAACTCATGGCTGTTGACTAATTCTGGCTACTATCTTTACACTACATTATGATACAGTGCAGTGACCTAGAAACGCAGCAGAAAGCCTTCTGCTGCAATTCCAGAATCTCACCAGACTTCCATAGAACCATATAACCATTAATGTCGATCATCAAATAAACAGCATGGAACAAACATAGCCAATTGCTCTTAATGTTCAGTAATTCTGCAGTTACACTATAAATAGGATTCAAAATATACCCATCCCTTTTGAAAAGACCTAAACGCTATAAACTCTGTCAATATCCTACTATTTGCAATTTTAAAAATCTGTACTATGAAACTGTGAGACATTGTGATTAAATAAATCCATCCAATGCTGCAATCAGTCTTTTATTTATTCAGGAATTTTCTGGTTTTCCATCCCTGATCTAGGAAGGAATAACAGAATAAAAGAATTGCAATGGATCTTGAAGGTCTTCTAGTCTAACCCTCTGCTCAAGTAGGAGAACCTATATCATCTCAGACAAGTGATTGTCTAATCTCTTCTTAAAAATCTCCAGTGATGGAGCACCCACGATTTCTGGAGGCAAGCTGTTCCACTGGTTGATGTCCTCACTGTCAGGAAGTTTCTCCTTAATTACAGGTTGCTTCTCTCTTTCATCAGTTCCCAACCATTGTTTCTCGTCCTGCCCTCAGGTGAACAAAGTGACCCCCTCTTCCTTGTGGCATCCCTCAGATACTGGGATACTGCTATCATGTCACCCCTATTTCTTCTTTTCTTTAGACTAAACTAACCCAAGTCCTACAGCCGTTCTTTGTATGTTTTAGTCTCCAGGCCTTTGATCATCTTAGTTGCTCTTCTCTGATTTTTTTCCAAACTCTCAACATCTTTTTTGTGATATGGTGACCAAAATTGGCTGCAGTATTCCAGGTGTGGTCTTACTAGGGATGTTTTTCTCCTTTTGTGTAAAGATAGATGCAAAAAGCAAGTTAAGCAGTTCTTTTTCCCTGTTTCTCATCACCTTCTTGCCATTTTCTCCCATTAAAAGACCAATCATTTACTTGGCTTTTTCTTGTTTTTTCACATATTGAAAGAAGCTATTTTTTGTTATTTTACTATTGTTGCAACTCTTAGTTTTGAGCCTTAGTTTTCCTGACTTTATCTTTGGAGGCTCGGGCTATTTGCTGAGTTATGTGCCCCTTTTCCCAATTTTTTATACTTGTTCTTTTTTGTCTTTCAATTTATCAGGGAGGGAGGGAGGAAGGAAGGGTTAATTTGGAGGGTAGAAGGAGTGATGGAAAAATGTTTTATTTGCTCAGTATCTCCATGCTACTAGTCCAAAATGAAAGTAGCAAAATAGCTGTACCCATTTCACAAGAAAATAGATGTACTGTATGCCAAAGTATACCACTTTTAAACATGTCTGTGAATGTATCCTCTAATTCAAAAAACAGAAAAACCGAAAGAGAACAGGAATTCCAAATTAAGTGCTGTCATATTTCACACAAAATGAGTTGCATATTAGTTACAAAAATGGGCAGAAAAAAATTATTTCCAAAGACAGCACATATTTTAATCAAAAATAAATAAGAATGCTTACATTTTGTCTTTATTCTATTTTTTTTTATTTCTATGCCCCCTATTCTCATTTTGCTTCTTATGAAAGAAGGAAACTGAATTCTGTAAAGTGTAAACCACTGCAGGTCTATCAAACATTTGCTCTTGTTTTAGAGATTTCAGCAGGGGTTATATAATTTTACAACTGCCAAGTTTAAAAGCTTGTTTTTTCTTAAAATAAAAGGCAAAGTTAAATTCTATATCAAACATATTTTTGCAGTTTTTCCTGTTCTCTCACATAATTACAACACAAAGAGAGACCTATTTATTATACCACTTAATCTTTTGCCTTTTATTTCCTATTTCAATTGTAAGATAAATCTTACAATGGTCTTTAAAACATTCACAATAACTAATACATAAAGAAATGCTATTATCAAGACATGAAAAAAAGAAATAGCAATACTCAAAAACCATGTACCTATTATTGTTGACATAGCTTTCAAAATAATTCATACACTTCTCTGAGCAGGTAAATTCTGACACCAAGTCTTAGTCTCTGATTTTTTTTTGTTTTTGTTTTGCAAGAACTGCTGGTAACAGATGACTGAGCTGAAGGTTATGGACATTATAAGTATGTACCATTTACAGAAGACAACAGACGCAAGAACTTTTGTTACTGAATAAAGTCTATTCAAAGTCTTCTAAATATCAATCAATTAGAATAGAGCTGGAAGGGACCTTGGAGGTCTTCTAGTCCAACCCCCTGCTCAAGCAGGAGACCCTATACCATTTCAGATAGATGTCCAGTCTTTTCTTAAAAACCTCCAGTGATGAAGCACTTACAACTTCTGAAGGCAAGCAAATGACCTCCAATATTGATGTGTAGAGAAAGAATTTAAAATGTATAGAGTAAAGGGGATATACACTATAAAAAAGCAACATTTCTGCTTTAGCAAAACATAAATCCATATATATATATATAAATCAACTAACTTTTTCTACATTCATACAGGGCTACCCTAAACTAAATTGCAGTGAGCCCATTTATGTTCATTCATAAATGGAGTAGGGGAACATGAGAAATTATCCTTTAAAAAATTGGGAAAAAAATCTGAGAAATTTTCATTGTATTTTCTGCTTCACTGTGATAGTCTGCAAGGTGGCTCAGAGTTTAACACAAGTCTTGCTTTTTTAAAACATGAAAAACAAAATCCTGTGTTACACTCAGTGAATTGTGAGGTCCTTTCCATAACTTTCTACTAGATATTCCCTGGAGTGTCTTAAAAACAATGTGATGTGATACCAGGTCATCTTGACTGCTGACTGTCCATGCTTTGTGGAACATCTAACTAGCAGAAAGCCGCTGAAAGAACTGAACACATTTTTATTTATTCAATATATACGGCTACCCTTCTGAACAATAAAATTCATCCCATTACCCCTGCAAATGCAAAATAATTCCATGCCACTTTCAAAAAGGAATCTTCACTTTTTTGTAGGTGAAGATTTCTGAGAAATATAAGGAAGGGTTTTGTCTCAGCACTACTCCCTACCTACCCGGACAGCTTCAGCTTTTTTATGAAACATCTCTTCCATGTTCTTGGCTAGTTTCTTCACAAGTTGAAGGCCATCAATTTCTTCAATTGTAACCTCCTTTTCATATTCCTTGTATTTCTGCAAGACAAAAGGAAAGCATTAAGAGAAATATGAAAATATTGTTTTCATGTATATGCTATGGATACTTCTGCAATAGCAATTTTCATGTAAGAATAAATTAATTGTTTGGGCATAACCCCAAAATAAAGACATTTTCTTAATTCCTGAAATGTTTGAGCTACTTAGCAAACGTAATTTCTTTGTTAGTGTGAATTTACATATTTATCATAAATTGTGATTAATCCTATCTATGGATCCATTTGCCATTTCATGCTTTTAGAGATTTGCAAAACATTTCATATTCAGAATGACCTGTCTCAAAATTGAAATGCATCATTTCACATGTGAAGCAGGCTGTCTTGATCAATTTGGAAGATTCTCAAGCTCAAAACAGCCAATTTCACACTTCAGACAGCTGTTTGGAACCCAGACAAGACATTTCAAACTCAAGATCCTTTGAATTCAAAACATTTTGTGTATAATTCCTTCATTCAAAATGGAGTAGTTGGAAATCCCTGGTCTTGGAGATCTAAGGTATGATCTACTTTCTGATTAATAAGACCATGTTTTTACCTCCACTTATGAGACAATCCATGTGATCCTGTTCCTGGTTCATTTAGCACAACTCTATGGCTTTACTTGTGCTTAATTTCTTAGCATAAAATAGAACAAGGGCTTCCATCTTCCCTAAATGGATTTGTTCCTCTTTTGTTCAAAGCTATCTCTGTCTTTTTCTAGAGACTATTGTGACTAGTTGTACCTTGTTGTTTGACTTATCCCCATTTTCTTTTAGGCTACTTTCTTTTAGATTTAAGCATATGTAAGGTTTTTGCTTTTGACTGTCCCTATGGTTACTTGCCAAAAGATATAAGGGTTAAGCTACATATGCCTTGTGATTGATGCCCACAATTTCTTGTAATCCAAGCCAAAATTCAAGACATAGACCAAGTTTGCTCTAGTGGTTAAGGCACCAGGCTAGAAAGTAAGAAACTGTGAGTTCAAGTCCTCCTTAGATATAAACACCAGCTGGGTGACCTTGGGCCAGCCATTCTCTCTCAGTTCACTTCACAAGGTTGTTGTTGTGGAAAAATAGGAGAAAGAAAGAATGTTGGATATACTCATCACCTTGAATTATTTGTAAAAATAATAAAGGGGGCTATAAGTAATCAAATAAATACCCTAGTTGGGCTGCAATTCAACTCTGACATATTGTAATGGATATTAACATACAGCTAATGCATGTAGCATCAAATGTACTTCCTATGCTAGGACTTTGGGGTTGAGCACTTAGTAGCTGATAGGCAGTTAGTAGCAAAACTAGTAATAGTAATAGTAGTAAAGTTGGAAGGGACCTTGGAGGTCATCTAGTCCAACCCCCTGCTCAGGCAGGAAACCCTACACCATTTCGGACAAATGGCTGTCCAGTCTCTTCTTAAAAACTTCCAGTGTTGGAGCATTTACTGCTTCTGGAGGCAGGCTGTTCTACTGATTAATTGTTCTCACTGTCAGGAAGTTTCTCCTTAGTTCTAGGTTGCTTCTCTCCTTGATTAGTTTCCACCCGTTGCTTCTTGTCCTGCCTTCAGGTGCTTTGGAAAATAGCTTAATTCCCTCTTCTTTATGGCAGCCCCTGAGATATTGGAATACTGCTATCATGTCCTTCTCTTCGTTAAACTAGACATACCCAATTCTAGCAACCTTTCCTTATATGTTTTAGCCTGTTTAAAAAACACTGTTTAAAAAAACATCTGCAGCATGTGTTAAAATATTTTTAGGTACAAACATTCCAAAGAAAGGGTTTAACTACAACAAAGATGATCAAATAAAAGGATTAGAACTGTATAATAGTCTTCAGTGAGGTCTGCAACCGGCCATCCTAACAAATATGATCAATTGTTAAAGGATGAACAGCGATTTCATTAGCAATGCTCCTTATAAAGGAACTGTAGTTGCATGCGTCAGTGACTACCTCTATTCCTATTGTTCATTATAATTGTCCATGCAATAAAGAGTGTAGAATTTCCAGTTTGTTGTCAGTTATGGTTTATGGCTAGTAAAGAAGATAAATCTCACAAACAAATTAGGCTGGCAAGCGAGAATATTCTGAATAGCAAAAGGGAGATTATATATCAAATGGTTGGGTTAGCAAATTATGTGGGGCAGAAACCATTCCACTGAAAAGATTTCAATAGTCAACGTGTTGAATGGTAAGCTACTGGCATCAGATGGTGAAGAGAAAAATTAGCAGTAAGTCTCCCAGCAAATCTCTCAGTAAAAATAAAAAATAAAGAAACAAATGTGGCCTAAGGCTTCTGTTGCAAAAAGGAATTTAGTTTTTTTGTTTAAATGGAAGTTCTCTGATGCAGAGAATCAATGCTATTGCCAAAAAACCTGGTGGTTTGGGTGCAGATAGGCTCAGCTATCTGGCATACAATACTCAGCTGCTGTTCAGGAGCATCCATTGTTTCATTCACATTTCAGTTGACTGTCATATTTAATGAGTCATTTTGTCCAGCTTTACTAAGAGGATTATGCCATTATTTAAATAGCAGAAGAGAAGATGATTATGGTTTATTTTTATTACTAAACAATTATCATTTTCAGAATTGTAAATCATATTTATCAACAGACAAATACAACTCAGAGGAATCCATTGGCCCTATGCAAACAGAAAAGCAAGGGTTTTACTTTGGAAGGAAAGGTTGATATTGTGTATTAAAGTCACGTGTTTTATATGTTAATGATGTTCATGTGTACCATGTCTCCCATTTTCTAGATGATTACTACCAAAGTTTAGGTAGATAATATGGTACCAGTGGGCAACTATGTGCCTGCAGACAATTTCCCTTGGCAGTCCTCTATTTGATTGTTAAAATTGGTTAATTAAAAAAGGAAATTCAAAATCCAAATGCAATCTACAGCATTAACTTTATTTACTAGAAAGTTCCCAGATCCCATAATCTTACAATTTGGAATACTGAGTGGCTAAAAATAATGCTTTGTGTTGGAAGTGTAGCAGCCTGCTCAGATTTTTTAAAAGACAAATGAAAACTGGGGAAATAATCTTTAGAACATAGGACATTGAATCATAGAGCTGGAAAGATCCAACCCCTGCTCAAGGCAGGAGATCTTATGCCAGCGATCTCAAACCTTTCTGGCTTTACAGATGGCGGGAGAGGGACAGAGACTGGTCACATGTAAACAGCGGGCGAGTGCACATGCCCAGCTCTATTTGCATGATCAATGGGCACACAAATGGAGCTGTGTGCACACACATGCTCACCCACTGCTCATATAAGTTGAACTAAACATGCACGTACACTCATCCACCACTTCCACAGCCTGGTTCTGAACGGGCCAAGGCCCGGGAGTGAGCCACTGCCAAGGGGTTGTGAACCCCTGACTTAAATCATTCCAGTCAAATGGTTGTCAAGTCTATTTTTGAAAACCTTCAGCAATGGAGCATCCCCAACTCCTGAAAGCAAGCTATTAATTGTTAATTGTTCTCACAGTCAAAAATTCTTCTTACTTCTAGGTTGATCTCTCTTTAACAAGCTTCCACCAATTACTTCTTGTCCTGCCCCTGGTGCCTTGAAAAGGGGCGTTGTCTTACCTGAGCGCCTTTTCTCAACACCAAGATGGATAATCCACCAATGGGTTTAGACTGTGTTCCTGCCCAATCAGATCAAGTCAGCCAAAGTTGCAACACCTGTCCTGGGCTAGAGTGTCCCAGTCTCGACACAGGCAAAGCCATAACTTACAGCAAGACATGGCAGGATTATCCATCTCCGTGCTGAGAAAAGGTGTTCAGGTAAGACAACGCCTCTTCTCTAGCACTGGAGAAGGATAATCCACCAATGGGACATACCAAAGCCTACTGTCCTGAGGGAGGGGAGCAGGCCGATCCGGCGTGGCACTTTGAGGTACGACCTGTTGGAGAACCCTCCTGCCAAAGGAGGCCTCTGCTGAGGGGAACCTGTCGATCTTGTAATGCCTTATAAAAGGAGATGGTGAAAACTATGTGGCTGCTCTGCAAATGTCCTCAATGGATGCCTGAGTGGCCCAGACCACGGAAGTAGCCACGCTATGGGTTGAGTGAATTGCTGGAGATGGGCATTTGTCAGGGAGGCAAAAAGGTCTAGAACTGGCAATCCAAAGCAGTGGCAGATCTCCTTGAAGATCCTCGGATGCAGGCGCCATTCCAAATGATCCACCGTCATCCGGCTCAGGAAGTTGGCCTGAGTGTTTGCCTCCCCTGAAATGTGGTCAGCCTTCATGGAAGCCAGGTTGGCTTCTGCCCAGGAGCCCAGCAGGAGTGCCTCAGTCAAGAGTGCATGAGATCGGGTGCCCCCTTGCCGGTTCACATGTGCCTTGGCAGCCACATTGTCCGTAAGGACCAACACGTGACACTTCGCTACTGCGCTGCGAAAGTGGCAGAGGGCCAGGTGTACAGTCCGCCATTTTTTCCCCCTTTTCTTTGGCCACGCCCCTGGCACCCGGTGATGTATAAGTGGTTGGGGGTCACCACAACATGGGGAACTGTATTATGGGGTCGCGGCATTAGAAAGGTTGAGAACCACTGCTATAGGAGCCACAGGCACCCTAGTCCCAGAGCCTGGTAAAGTAATCATGTCTTTAAGGCTTTCTGGGATGCCATCAGAGTCCGAGTCTCAGGGCATGGAGCTCATTTCAGATGGATGTTTCCGAGGTCCCAAGGGTTTATATTATTTATGTTATATTATATAATTGGAGGGATCCAGAACATGCCAACCTGAGATCAACTGGCCAGGCTGAACCCATGGGAGAAATATGATCTTCCTTTATTAGAAGTAGTTCCCTCATTGTTCCTTTTTTTCAAATTCATTATTTTAAAAGAAAAGATGCTTGACTCACTTCTGTTGTTCAAAGTTTTCTTTTATGTTTCATTTTTTAAAACAAATCAAAGTGCTAAGCAGCAAAAAGAGAATATTTAATCAGTTCCTACTTTAAAACATAGACTTTTTAGCCTCTCTGCATGCATCCAACAGCAAAATTTAACAAGCTCTGATACGAGAGAAAAATTGCATTATGTTAGATTACTTTAATGAGAGTATTTCTCCTTCCACCTGCCCATTTTCTTTGCCAACAGAACACATTAGGCACTGAGCTATTTCTCCCTCAATTTGCACATTTTGCTTTTTTTTTTCATCAAGTAAATGTCATGCTTTGATAGTATTATCTAAGATCAATAGCTGTTTTCTTCCTCCTTGATTAAATATGACAGTAGATAAAAATGGACAGGTTATTGTCAACATAATTTGAAGTCAAGACATCAATATTCAATTACTAAAATCAAAGAAAAAAATGTTAAATAATAAATGATAAGCATCACTCTATTGCTTTTGTAGTTTTGATTATATCCAATCAGCCATTCTGAAAATGGAGGCTGTGGTTTTTATATAGTCCAAGTTGTATGTTTAAAAAAAAACAATGGGTGAGAGATGGCTCTGCTGTATACATTGAAATTGGTGAAAGGTGAATCGATTCCATTAAAAGTTTTGTGTGGACCTCAGAGACTAAGGACTATTTTAAAAATCAAGATCTAAATCAACTGTCTTAAAGAACTACTGTGCTTATTAAACTGGTAGGTCAAGAAATAAGAAGGCTGTTCTTGCAATGAACATATTCCATTCTTATAAATAATTTTATCAGCAATTAGCCTCCCTTAAAAATTTAGTAACATGGAAAGAAAGGACTATACCAGTGAACAGAAGGTGGAAATGAACTCACTCAGTTTGTACCCATCACTGGGTATATGATATACCGTATATCTATACAAGAAAAGTGAGTAGTATGATAACAATTTCAATTTCCATGTAGACTTCTTCTCCTTATGGAGTTTTGTCCAACAAACTCATCAGCCATGATTTCCATTAGGACATATAATAATAATAATAATAATAATAATAATAATAATAATAATAATAATAATAATAAGAAGAAGAAGAAGAAGAAGAAGAAGAAGAAGAAGAAGAAGAAGAAGAAGAAGAAGAAGAAGAAGAAGAAGAAGAAGAAGAAGAAGAAGAAAGAAGAAGAAGAAGAAGAAGAAAGGAAACCGCCCCAATAGCAGAGGAACAAAAGATCAACTCCTAATAGACAAAATGATCTTGGAAAACTGCAAGAGAAGGAAGACCAACCTGAATGTTGCATGGATTGACTACAAAAAGGCATTTGACTCTCTGCCACATGATTGGATAATCAAGTGCCTAGAAATAACAGGAGTCAGTAGAAACATCAGAAAATTTGTGCAAAGATCGATGGCACAATGGAAGACACAGTTGCAGATCAATGGTGAGAAGCTGGGAGAGGTTAATATCAAGAGAGGGATATTTCAAGGAGATTCATTATCACCATTACTATTTGTTATTGCACTGTTTCCTCTGTCAACAATACTGAATAACTCAGGACATGGCTATCAAACATCAAAAACATCTGCAAGACTATCCCACCTCCTTTACATGGATGATCTGAAGCTGTATGGAAAAACATCATCTGAAATAGAATCGCTGCTCAACACTGTCCGTATATATAGCCAAGATATTGTAATGGAGTTTGGCTTGGACAAATGTGCCACACTTACTATCAAACAAGGAAAAATAATGAAAACTGAAGGAATCAAGATGCCCCACGAAAATAACATTAAGAGTCTGGATGAGGAAGAGTACTACAAATACTTGGGTATCCTTCAAGCTGACAACATCAAGCACACTGAAGTCAAGAAAAAGATTAGAGGTGAATACATCAAGAGAGTGAAGAAGATCTTAAAGTCCAAACTCAATGGAGGAAATACCATAAAGGCAATCAACACCTGGGCAATCCCAGTCATTAGGTACACAGCTGGAATAGTGGACTGGACTCAAGCAGAACTAAAAGCAATGGATAGGCAGACCAGAAAAATAATGACAATGAATCATGCCCTTCATCCAGGCAGTGACATTGATAGACTTTATCTACCAAGGCAAATAGGTGGGCGTGGAATGCTACAAGTACATCAGATGGTTGAAGAAGAAAAAATGACTTTGGAAGAATATCTGAAGAACAATGATGAAGATGCACTGAAATTAGTATATCAGGAAGGCTTACTAACTACTGGAGAGACCAAAGTGGCCTACAAGAAAGACCAAATGAAGAACAGAATAGAGGCATGGGAAGACAAAGCACTACATGGCCAATACATGAAAAAAATAGCTGGGAAAGCAGATAATAATAAAACCTGGCAATGGCTAAGAGCAGGAAAATTGAAGAAAGAGACCGAGGGACTAATTCTGGCTGCACAAGACCAAGCCTTAAGGACAAATGCATACAAAGTCAAAATTGAGAAGACAGCAACAGACAGTAAGTGCCGCCTATGCAAAGAAGCTGAAGAAACAGTGGACCACTTGGTAAGCTGTTGCAAGAAGATTGCACAGACTGATTACAAGCAGCGGCATGACAAAGTAGCAACAATGGTGCATTGGAAGATCTGCAAAAAATATCATTTGCCTGTAAGCAAAAACTGGTGGGATCATAAAATAGAGAAAGTCATAGAAAATGATAAAATTAAACTGCTCTGGGACTTCAGAATTCAAACAGACAAGCACCTGCAACATAACACCCCAGACTTAACAATTGTCGATAAGAAAGACAAAAAAGTCTGGATAGTGGACGTGGCAGTGCCTGGAGACAGCAGAATAGAAGAGAAAGAACTGGAGAAGATAACAAAATACAAAGACCTACAAATAGAAATAGAAAGACTGTGGCAAAAGCAAGCAAGGGTAGTACCAATAGTCATAGGCTCCTTGGGTGCAATCCCAAAACAACTGGAGCACCACTTGAACACCATTGGCATTGACAAATTCGCTATTAGTCAATTGCAAAAGGCGGCCTTATTAGGAACTGCTTCCATCCTGCGACGATACCTGTAATACCATCAAACATCCACATCTGCCTATCCCAGGTCCTGGGTAAGGACTCGATAGGTAGACAAAAGGCCAAATCCAGTCTGAACATCTGGCTGACTGTGTGATGATCCATAATAATAATAATAACAACAACAACAACAAAATACAAAGACCTACAAATAGAAATAGAAAGACTGTGGCAAAAGCAAGCAATAGTCATAGGTAGACAAAATGCCAAATCCAGTCTGAACATCTGGCTGACTGTGCGATGATCGATAATAATAATAACAATTATTATTATATATTATTATATATTATATATTATTATTATAACAACTGGGAAAACCTACCTAGTAATGAAAAATCCAGCAAAAGGGGCAACACCAGGTAACTACAGGCCAATTACCTGCTTACCAACAACTTTCAAATTACTAACTGGTGTGGTAGCTGATGCAGTACAATAGCATCTAGTTGAAAACAATCTCTTTCCACCTGAGCAGAAAGGAAACCGCCCCAATAGCAGAGGAACAAAAGATCAACTCCTAATAGACAAAATGATCTTGGAAAACTGCAAGAGAAGGAAGACCAACCTGAATGTTGCATGGATTGACTACAAAAAGGCATTTGACTCTCTGCCACATGATTAGATAATCAAGTGCCTAGAAATAACAGGAGTCAGTAGAAACATCAGAAAATTTGTGCAAAGATCGATGGCACAATGGAAGACACAGTTGCAGATCAATGGTGAGAAGCTGGGAGAGATTAATATCAAGAGAGGGATATTTCAAGGAGATTCATTATCACCATTACTATTTGTTATTGCACTGTTTCCTCTGTCAACAATACTGAATAACTCAGGACATGGCTATCAAACATCAAAAACATCTGCTAGACTATCCCACCTCCTTTACATGGATGATCAGAAGCTGTATGGAAACACATCATCTGAAATAGAATCGCTGCTCAACACTGTCCGTATATATAGCCAAGATATTGTAATGGAGTTTGGCTTGGACAAATGTGCCACACTTACTATCAAACAAGGAAAAATAGTGAAAACTGAAGGAATCAGATGCTCCACGAAAATAACATTAAGAGTCTGGATGAGGAAGAGTACTACAAATACTTGGGTATCCTTCAAGCTGACAACATCAAGCACACTGAAGTCAAGAAAAAGATTAGAGGTGAATACATCAAGAGAGTGAAGAAGATCTTAAAGTCCAAACTCAATGGAGGAAATACCATAAAGGCAATCAACACCTGGGCAATCCCAGTCATTAGGTACACAGCTGGAATAGTGGACTGGACTCAAGCAGAACTAAAAGCAATGGATAGGCAGACCAGAAAAATAATGACAATGAATCATGCCCTTCATCCACGCAGTGACATTGATAGACTTTATCTACCAAGGCAAATAGGTGGGCGTGGAATGCTACAAGTACATCAGATGGTTGAAGAAGAAAAAATGGCTTTGGAAGAATATCTGAAGAACAATGATGAAGATGCACTGAAATTAGTATATCAGGAAGGTTTACTAACTAC